CTGCTACAATTTAATTTAGTATCTCATTTGATGCAAGATAAATATGATAAAGGTCCATTGTTGGGGGATTGGGTGTTGGTGCTTCTTAGAAGATGTAACAAAACATACAAATTTCATCTAAATTTCCTTAATTCCTTTTTAGGAACTTTCTCAAATTAGACATAAGCTCTGCCCTGGCTTTTTGAAACTTTGAATTAAGGAAAAACAAATTCCGGAGCATATATTTTAAGCTTGTGAAGAGTCACGTAATTGAGTAAGCTAAGCAAATGCTTTTTTTTTTCTTTTAATGCATACTTATATGATAACATTTAGAGTTTGTTATAACTTGAGTTATGTATATGATCAATTAAGTATTTTTTTTTTAACTTCATCCAATTGCAACTTACTCGTTGTTTTCTTGTTAAAGAGATTTAGCTTACTAGTGAACGTGTTTGTGTGTGTATGTATTTTAACTTTGTCTAATTAAGTATATATAGCGAGGGATCGATCCCTCATTGTTTCCTCACTAAAGGTTAAATTTTAAACACATTTAACGTCGGATTAGCAAGGGACAATGCTGTCATAAACTTTTAGCAAGGGATGGCAACCCTTGCTATCTCATACCTAATATGGTCAGAATTTGATCTCGTTTAACAAGAGATATTGTTCTCGTTAAAATTTAGCAAAGGATATAATCCCTAACCAAATCTCTTGTCAAATAGTGAGAAAATATTGATCTCTCATTAAATTTAGTGAATCTTTTTTGTAATAAATTTAGTGAGGGTCAAAATCCCTCACTAAATATGATTTAGTGAGAGAAATAAGGTATTTAATAAGAATTTTGTCCCTTGATAAAGTTAATTTTTTTAGTAGTGTATGGCCTAGTAGTCATGGCAAAATAATGAGAGGGAAAAAATCAAAAGAAAAAGAAGACCTATGTGGACAACTTGTACTGATTTGATAAATTGGCATTGACCAACGTAAATTAAAACTTTTAAAAGCAACTATAAGTCTATAACTATATATTATAAACACTATTACAAGAGTAAATATATTTAAAATGTTAAATTTAATAAAAGTTACATTTAAGGTGTTGAATATAATATTAATTCATTAAAAATCATTATCATACTTTAAGAAGTTATTGCTAAATATTGTTAAGGCCAATATGATTTGTAAATTTAAACTAAATTAATAGTGATTGAATTAAATGGAAGGGATTGGATTCGTTTCAAACAAGATTGAGAGCTCGACTCTTAAGAATAAAAAAAATTATGGTGAAAGAATTACTTCCAAGTAGGCTCATGCTCAACTATATTTGAATCAAACATGATGTTGGATATATGAGATAATTGTAAGGACAAAGTTTTACAAAGTGATAATAACTTTTCGTTTTTAACGTTTTAAAAATTCTTTAACGTAATTTTTATCCTTTGAATGTATCTTTTTCTCTTATTAGGTTACATTGACCAAGTTGAAAAGGGCACCTAGTAATTAGTAATCAATTAGCTAATTAGTCATGTCTTAAGGAACAAGATTGACGTTACCGGTTGGCGTTGAAGTATCCCAGCCTTTACATCGTCCAACAATGATTTCATAACATTCAACAAACTAAAGAGTGAAAACATTATCTAAGAAGCTTGTTTCAATTTATTGAAAGAATTAAATTAGCTTATTATAAAATTTTGAATTTGAATCATGTGATATATAGTCGCGTTAAATAAATATATAAAAACATTATTAAAGTACCCGTGAGACTGTTGTTGGGAATAACATCTGTTTCACACAACAAGAGTGCAGATTCTCCTAAACTGGAGATAATAATCCCCACATATTCTCATGATACCTAGCGATGAAATAAAAAGATAGTAAAGGCATTAATTTTAAAACAATTTTAATTTAGAGGCACATCATCGTCATTGAAATTAAAGCAAATATTCTCTTTAGTCCTTATTATAGGACACATATATTTGATTTATGGCTCATGTATCTCTTCTAATTATTAATAGGGGTACAATTGAAAAAAAAATTCATTTTAAAATATATTTAATGAGTTAATTATTTCTTAATGAGTACATCAAAATTACCGCAATAATTCAAGGTTTTTTTTTTCATGACTAGTGCATGGCTGAATGAAATAGGTTGGATTGTCCATTGTGACCAACATGTGTTGGTTTTAACGAAATGGATTATAACCGTTTAAGCATAAAATATCGTATGAGTTCACTCAAGTGCAGAAACTGCTTTTGTGAAAGTCTTTTTTTTTTTTCAATTGGGCTCAATAATATTTAAATTTAACCTGGTTATAAGTAGTCGTATAAAAAAAAGAAATCGGCTGTAATGACAAAATTAAAATGCTTTATTATTATATGATAAATAAATACTTAAGATTCTGGTCATTAAGTTTTAAAAAAATCTTTTAATCGACATTAGTCTAAAAAAAATTAAAAAGACATAATGTATTTGATAATAATGCTGATGGGATGAATAAAGTGCGGATATGATAATCAAATTCAAAGGGGAACGCTGCCTCAAAGATTGAAAACACCTCCCTTTGCTACATATGGTTTTTTTTTTTTGGCCGAAAAGAGTCCCTTTGCTACATATTTAAAAACAACAACAACAACAACAATACTAACAATGTTTGGTTAAATAAAATAGGCCAGCGCAGAACCACACACACACACACAGTGTGGAAAAACAAAGTTAGTATTTGAAGTTACATGCATAAAAGTGCACTCAAAGCTTTGCTGAATTATTCCAAAGTGGTGATGAATTAATGGCTTGGGGTTCTCTCTCTCTCTCTCTCTCTCTCTCACCCCATATCACTCTTCAACACATGATGCTTTTCTTGCACGTATTAAAAGCCAGCTTCTACGAGACTATGTTGTTTTGTCTTCTCATAATTCCCCATCAATTTTAGCTGGTTATTCGTTGGAAGTTATTGAAAATTTAATATTTTGAGAGGCCAAGCTTGGTGGCACTAATTAACTTGTTAAGTAAGCCAGGGCATGTCTCTAAAACACATTATAGAAATCAAGTTTTATTTCAAGCTAATTTAAAGTTAATTATGATCAATGGAATAGTTTGAGAGCATGTGTGTGGTTAAAAGTTTTGACATGGGTCGTTCAAAAGAATAATGAGGCTTTTTGAAATTATTTTTATTTTATTATTTTGAAAACTGATATTTTGTAGAACATGTTCTGAAAAAAAAAAATAAAAATAGGTGTTTTTTCATTCTCTCTTAGTCTTCAATACAATAGTTACAGAACACCTAAAAATTATTTTTATTTTTTTATTCTCCAAAACAATATTTTATTTTTTGTTCTTCAAAATACTTTTTAAAAATATGTTACCAAACAAATTTTTTTATTCTCTTATTTTGAAGAATAGAAAATTATTTTCAGAACATATTTCCAAACAGGCCCATAATTTCTTGGTAAAAGTTTATCTGATTTTATGTTCACTGTAACATCACCAATGCTCATCGGTAAACTTTTAGACCAATTGAAAGTATAATATAGGTGACATATCGTATTTATATATTTATGTATTTTATAATATCTTACATAGGTCTCTTTGAACATTTATTAGTCCCTTGTAGGAGATTTTATATTGAGTGCAAACTTTGAGCGAATCAGAGACTTTGATCATGCAATGTTATGGATGACATCTTCTTGAGACTAAATAATAATAATAATAATAATAATAATAATAATAATAATACGCGGAATGACCAAGAGGAACGGAACCAAACACATGTTAATACTTAAATAAATATAAATTGCCGTACTGATAAAAAGGACAATGTGTCGTCCCCAAAACAAATGGTAAAGAGAAAAAAATAAATATAAAGAAAATCCTCTCCACTGAAAATTCTTTTGAGAACATGACAAATTTTTTGGGAATGGGAGATTTTCTATTATTTAAACCTTAACACAACATTTTCAAGAATAAAAAAAAATGACACTTAAGTTTAAAAAAGATAATTGATTATCAAAAAATTTATAAAATTTCTTAAATATCAAATTCTGCACATTTATAATTTAATAAATGACATTTACAATTATCTTCCGTAAGATTTAAGTATAATTTTTCCAATAAAAAATGTTATTACCACCTTTATTTAGTTCAAATCATGCTCAAATTTGATTTAATAATATCAAGTTAGATAGTTGCATGAGAAATATTTTTTGTAATATTATCATATAAATAAAAAATAATTACTCCCCCTATCTTAGCTTATAAGGAATTTTTAGACGTGACTCTGTCCCAAAATAAGACACTTTAACAAAATAAAATTCCATTAATCATATTTATTTTAATATTATCTTGCTTTATTATTATTTTTCTCTATATTTAATGTTTCACAAATAAGACTATATTAAATATTTTTAAAAAATAAAATTATAAAATTAATTTAATAAATTTTAATAATATGTTTAAGTTTTTATAAAGTATATTTTAAATTGAGACGGAGTATAATATATCAATTTCAAAATACTATATATATATATATATATATAAATGTTAACTCTTTTCTGTGTGTACTATTGTAATTTATTATTTTTGTTATTTTATGTTTAAAATAAAATATTATATGTTTCAAGAAATAATTAAATTCTTGTAATTTTTCAGAAAATGAAAATAATAAAACATTTTTGGTCGAAGTAAATAATACTAAAATATTTTATAATTTTAAATGGGAGAATTGTTACGGTATCACGGTAAGTGATGAATCATGAACATGCCACTGCCACGTAGCGCAGAGACGGGGAGAGACAGAGAGAGAGAGAGGAAAAACAAGCATCGGTTAACGGTGGTTAGGGGCCGGCTGGGAAGTCAAGCTGCTTAGGCGAGCCTCAAGATTAAGCGCGAGTATTATAAGGTTAATAAACCTAACCATGGTTACTATCTCGAGTTAGGCCCCAAACACGCATTCTCATTTCACTTCTCCGTCTTCCTCTTTCCCCGTCTTCTGTTCTCCAATGCTATATAAGCATCCCTCCCTCCCTTTTCTCTCTCGCTCCTTCCCTTCCCTTCCCTTCTTCCTTCTTCATCATTTTTCACACAAAGAAAAATACAGAGTGCGACAAAGTGAGGTGTAGCAGAAGCAATAATGATGGAGGCTTCTCTGAAATGGTCATTCATCGTTTTCGTTCTGACTATGGTGCTGCTTTTATCTAGCGCCAAGCCATTGAATGGGGATGAAAATGAGAAAGGCCGTCTTGTAATGTCAAGGTAACAGCTGACAATCAAAGAGAAATCAGATTTCTTCTGTACTTCAAGAGCTTCAATGAACTTTGATTAATTTCGAGTCTTACGAGAGTTTAGCGTTTCATGTGTTTGACACATTGCAATGTGATCAATGCGTTTGTGACTTGGTTGCTCTTACCTGGAACAGGAATGTAGAAACAGAGAAGTTGCAGAATTTGAAGAATTCATCAATGGCGGACAGGTTAGTGTAATTTATCACCGTTTCGTCGGGCTTTTAAGCTTCCGGTTTGAATTCTCAATGACGGCAATGACCGTTCACGTGGGATTGGATTCTAAATAACCGTTTTGTTGAGATATATTTTCGATATACGAATCAGCAATGTATCTCAGAAAAGGAACAATCTGAGCCCTTCAGATCGGATCTGAAGTATTAGTTTATCATTTCAATCTTGATGACTTTTTCTCGTTGGGTCTCAGCTCACGACAATAGCGTGAATCTTCACTATGAAATCACTCTTCTTTTGAGTTTTGAGAGTTTTGACTGCACTATTACCATGAGTCAATCTCTCAATTCAATGAGATTTTGCTCATGTCAGTCAATGGAGCATAAAACGGTGTCGTTTCTACTTCGGTTTCTTGACTGAATATTCCTGTAAATTTTCAGGTTAAACGATGCTCCAAATGAACACGCAGTGGATAATCCAGAGGAGATAGCTTCCATGGTTGATATGTAATCTCTCCATACTCAAATCTTTCCTTTCTCTCTCTTTCGGAAGACTGATCTTTTTCACTCAGATTATTTTTTTAAACAGCCATAAATTGGTTGACTTTATCTTGTTTTATTTTTCTTTAAATTTATTATATAATTATTTTTATAATTACATAAATTCCGAATTAATTTTTTCAGTCGTTCCATATTGCTATTATTAGGGTCATGTGCTTGGTAGATTAGTTTATACGTGTTTTGGGCTCAGAAATCATGTTGTTTTCATCCTTCTCGGGCACTTTGCCTTTAAAAACCTGCGTCCAACATGTCAATCCATGTGTTTAAATCGAAGTTAGAAAAATTCTGTTCTCTTTTTCATCTTATCCCTTTGATAAGAAGCCTCATGCTTGGTTTGGTTCCATGAAAAATACCCCTTCCAATTTTATTTACAAGACACCTTTTAAAGGTAATTTTTGATTCAAAATATAGGACATCTTATAATAATTAAATTATTTTTTTAATTTTATCTCTTTTTGATTAGTGTAAAGATATTTAATCTAATTATATTATTATTTAAATACTCTCTTCAATCTTATTCATAAGAGATGTGAAATGATTGAAAATGTTATATAATAAGAATAAGACGAGGGTACCGCAGCTAAAGGCAAAATCATTGAATCATGAAGGTTGATTACCCAGGAAGAACGACGGTGCCTCAAACAGCACGGGTAAAATTACCAGACCACTATAATAATGACAATTAGGTAAAATTATTAGCACAGCTATTAATTACAGTTAGGAATTCGAAATTATTGAAATTTTAATAATAGGTCATAGTTCTTATTTAAAATTAAAAATATATATGAGTTTATAAAATTGACCTCCACTTAGAAAATAAAAAAAAATATATAACTTTGGGTCACTGTAATTTTTTTCATTGTTCTAAATCTCTACACTTTTATTTTTTGATATTTTAGATCCTTATAAATTCCTTATGGAGGGACTTAAAACACTAAAAAATAAAAGTATAAAAACCTATAACAAAAAAAATGTAAGGATTTATTGTAAAATTTGAGTAAAGTGCAGAAATTTAAAGTTATATTTTCTTATAAAAAAATGATACTGCTAAAATTACTATTATAGAATGAGAATATTATTAATATCAATTGGGAAACCAAGGAATATATAATTGTTGGGATAGATTGTTTTTCAATATAAAACTAAAATTTACTTTTAAAATTTTTCAATGACACTTGTGAATATATAATAGTCATTTAAAAATTTATTAAGATTATTTTTGAATATGAACCTAATCACTTGTGAATTCTTATGTTTGTTAATATATAGGTAGAGCACTAAAAAAATAAAAAATTAACACAACTAAAATTACTATCATGAGATAGAAATAATGTTAATCTCAATTGAAAAACTAAAGAACGATTGTTAGTAATAAATTATTTTTTAATATGAAATTAAAATTTATTTTTAAAACTTTTCAAAAGTACTTGTGAGTATATAATAATTAATTAAAAATTTATTAAAATTACCTTTGAAGAGCATTAGACTATTCATATTTTTTTAAGGTTACAGTTTATTATTGAAATTTTAATAATTTAAAGTTTCTAATTATAATTAATAATCTTCAAGGATGTTTAATTGTCATTGTGCCTTGATGAAACTCCATATCTATTAAATGTGCGAACGAAATAGTACAAATGTGCAATATAGGATTCCTTGTGCCTATATAATAGCACCGTTTGCTTATTCCTTTCCGGATCATCTGTTCTTTCATTTAATATGGAAATACAAATCTGGCTTTATTAATTAATTATACGTTCAAATTGTGAAGTTGGCCTTCAAGGTTCTAATGAAGCAAGCATCATGTTGTGCGCAGAACGAGATCTATTGAAACTGAAAGTTAAACCCTTTATATTATATATGCCAGCTTTAGCCACATGCTAATGCTCCGAGATCCGACCCTGCCGCTCATGATATTAATTTCTTGTCTTTTTCTTTCCCTTATCTAAATATCATCTTCAAGTACAGATACCTTTTCAATGCCAAAAGCCTTCTTTGAGTGACATTAAGTCAACCTATCTAATTGTAGCGTAGCCTATTTAAATAGGAGCTTATGTTTTGTGTTCTTGAAAATATCAATCAGTCAATCACACAATTATTTATATTTTTTTTTGGGTAAAATACTATTATTTATATTTTATCACTTTATTTAAAAAATTGATTATTTTTTAAGTATACTTATGTTTGAATTGAAATTGTCTGTTGTTGAGTACCGGCTTTATTGGGCTTTTGTTTGTTCTTTTATATTCAGATTGTTTGAATTTTAATAAAGAAAATTCATATATTTCTAATGCTATTTTCATTTTTTTGTTTTTAAAATAAATAAAAATAAAAATAAAAATAATATTTCAACTCAGATTTTCAAAAAAATAAATATATACTATCCATATCTCTTTTTTGGTTTTTTTTTTTTTTTAGGGGGGTGGTTCCGAGAACATCCATCCTATTTCTCTAATATCAATGGTCAATGTTCCAGATTTGTTGATCTAGCAGACACTCTCACTCTCCAATGGCTAATGTTTGGTTCTCTTGCTTATGCAAATGCAATACCCTTGTATCCAACTAGATCATCCATTCCACATGGTTTTCTGGCCCCTCCAACACTTGAATCAGTAAAGGGGGGGGGGGGGAACTCTCTTGTTTGTTATTTGATTACCTTCATGATTTCTGCACCCAAATGATCAAATACAATGTCCAATTCAGACTGTAAGAAATTAATGGAGTTCCCACGTCTTCCAACAAGGTGGGGTAACCCACAGGAATGGGCTTTCGGTCTCCAGCCTGTCCTTATAAGCATACACTCCAAACTGCAGATCAGATCTGGTTTCTCCATAATTCTTTCCACACAGCGACACACAGTTGGATGTATTTTAGCTGATTTCTGATCCAGCATCTTCTGTCTCAGAGAACCTTATCAAATGACTTTTGACTATTACCACCGACACCCCCAAGTAGTAAGCTGAAATTAGTTGTTCGTCCCCCACCTTTGGCATTTATTTATTGCTAGAGAAATTTCAGGTCAGATATTCAATCCCCAGTTTCCGTATAGACCGTATCATTCTATCCGTTTGCATTATTGCAGACACACATGACCCATTAGTTTTTCCTTTTGGTGGGACATTGCAATTAAATCATAATAAGTAGTACTACATGCTTCCCTTGTGACTTCCCGTGAATCATACGTGTCATTTTTTCTTGGATCTTTCTGACATTTCTTCAAACTTATAACTTGATAAATGAAAATACTTAAATAACTAGCAAGAGTATATAATTGTAGGATTAATTTCACTAATGTCGGTGACTAAATTTAACAGGAGCATACGCAATCATACTGAAAGAAGGAATCTGGGTTTCTTCTCATGTGTGACTGGAAATCCAATTGATGACTGCTGGCGCTGCGACAAACTTTGGCACAGACGGCGAAAGCGTTTGGCCAATTGTGGGATTGGGTTTGGACGTAATGCCATAGGTGGCCGTGACGGTAGGTTCTATATTGTGACTGATCCAAGTGATGACGATCCTGTCAACCCAAGACCAGGTACCCTGCGCCATGCGGTTATTCAAGATAGACCCTTATGGATTGTGTTCAAGAGGTCCATGGTTATCACTTTAAAGCAAGAGCTTATCATGAACAGCTTCAAGACCATAGATGGTCGTGGAGTGAATGTGCACATTGCCTATGGGGCTTGCATTACTATACAATTCATCACCAATGTCATCATCCATGGTTTACATATCCATGATTGCAAACGAACTGGTAATGCAATGGTTCGTAGCTCACCAACTCATTATGGTTGGAGAACTATGGCTGATGGAGATGGCATTTCCATTTTTGGTTCAAGCCACATTTGGATTGACCATAATTCAATGTCTAATTGCGCTGATGGCCTTGTTGATGCAATTATGGGGTCCACTGGTATTACCATTTCCAACAATTACTTCACCCACCACAACGAGGTAATTGATTTGCCTTCAGCCCTCTTATTTATAGGATTAAGATTATATACTTATTGCTTTTCAATTTTGCAGGTTATGCTACTGGGCCACAGTGATACATATGTAAGAGATAAGCAAATGCAAGTAACCATTGCCTACAATCATTTTGGGGAGGGTCTTATCCAGAGAATGCCGAGGTAACATTCTTTTTTATGCAAACTCAACTAGTAATCTTGTTGAGCTTGTAGGCAGATAAGATATAAGATGACCATCAGCCTTGTTACTAGAGGATTACCAATAAACTTTTACGACTGTTTTAGTATCTTGACCAATTCTATCTCCAGGGTCTCCACAGCCTTCCACAGCCTACTCACTGTAATACGGTGTTTTGTTTTGTGGATGACTGTAATAGCAATGGCAATGGTACTGTCTTTTGGTTTTCCAAATGCTTATTCCCTCATCGTTGGTTTTAATAGAAGTCATATTTAATATCAAGATACTGTTGCCAGGAGAGTCTAAAGAGATGTATAATTAATTTGAAAACAATTTAATTGCTTTGTAAAAACTTAACCAACAGTGGAGGTGGATTTTTTTTCCCTTTACAGGTGCAGGCATGGGTATTTCCATGTGGTAAACAATGACTATACCCACTGGGAAATGTATGCAATTGGTGGAAGTGCTAATCCCACAATTAACAGCCAAGGCAACCGATACCTTGCCCCTCGAAACCGTTTTGCTAAGGAGGTAAAATCTTCAACTGTGAATTTTACTTCCAGAGTCAGAGACATGGCAGTTTATATATACAGTAATAATGTTTTAATATGTGGTGTGTGAACAGGTGACAAAGAGAGTGGGTACAGACACAAGGATATGGAAGCACTGGAACTGGAGGTCAATGGGAGACCTTATGTTGAATGGAGCCTACTTCACTTCATCAGGAGCTGGTGCTGCAGCAAGTTATGCCAGAGCCTCCAGTTTAGGGGCCAAGTCATCTTCCATGGTTGGTATCATTACTTCTGGAGCTGGTGTTCTTAACTGCCGCAGGGGCTTCACCTGTTAAAACCACAAAATTCTAAAAAAAAAAAAAGGATAAAGGAAAGGAAGGAAGGAAGAAAATGAAGTTGTTTTCATTCTTTCTCCTACTTGATTGCATTATTATAGATATGCAGAGTGAGATGCTGTTGAGGACACATCATCTGTTTGTCCTTCCCACTAAGGTGCTGGTGGAAATGTAAATTTTACATGTCCCAATTGTTATCAAATTGATAACAATGCTTGTGTTGAAGAAGCCATTTGTTTCTCCCACTTTCTGAGGACTCCTTCTTCAGACTCCACAAATTCATTTCCAGGGGAAGCAGATTCTACAGAACTCGTCTCTTTGATCATTATTTGTTTAACCTTCTTCAGAGAAAACTCTTGATTTGTTCCAAATGAGATGAGCCAAAGGAGTAGAGGAGAGATGTATTACTATAATAGTTAGGTGTGTAATTTTCTTCAAATCGAAGTTTAATTTTCTTGCACTTTCGCCTTATAATTTTAAAGCTATCATTCTTTTTAAATTACATTGAAGTTATATTCACTTTATAAGTAGTTTTAAATAAATACCTAGTTCCACAAATCCTGAAAGCATCTTAAACAGATGATTAATAATTTTAGCTTTAAATACGTTGATTAAATGCATACATTACTTTATGTAAGTGTCAATAGAGTTATTATATATAAATCCTTTATTATTACAAAAATTATGAAGAGTAAGTTATATTATTTTTAGTTTTTGAATAATATATTACACATCAATATTGATTAAATTGGAAAACATCACATTTATACCTAAATGCATCATAGTGATCAACTATATCAGTATATATAGTAAATTTTAAAAAAAAATTAATCTTTTAATCCTTCAATTTTTAACTTATTTGTAACTCAATTTTTTAATTATAACTTGCTGCGACTTAATCTCTCAACTATAACTAACCTATGACTCAGTCCCTCAACTTTTGTTAGTTCTCTTTTTTAATGTTAACTTAAATCGCACCTCAAAGAGTAAGAGAAGGGTATTTTAAAATAATATATGAAATTTTTTTTTATTCCTCTTATTTGATAAGGATAATTTTTAAATTAAAAAATATGAACCGAGTTATATGTGAGTCAAAAATTGAGAGATTGAATCACAACAAATCATAATTAAAAGACTAAGTCACAGCGAGTGATAATTGAGGAATTGAGTTAAAAATTGAAGGACTAAGATTAATTTTTCTTAAAATTTATATAAAATTGTAATCATTCTATTTATAAGGCATGATACACTTTCTCTCAAATTTACTACAAAACACAAGACCATTGTCTATACTGTGATCTCATACCTGCTTATGCCAAATAAAAATGCTTAATATAATGGCATAGAGATAAGGATGCAAATGAGTAATTGTTAACATGTGATCATGGAGGCAAATTTAACAAGTCCTGTCGTACTTTGGTTTTAATGTGATGAAAGAAATATGTATTATATATTTATATTTTGAAATACTAGAAATAAGTTATATAGTAATAACTCAAAGCTTGATAAGGAAGTAACTTCTCTAAGATTTAAAATTCAGCCAAACAATAAATGACAACAGTATCCACTGTTTACAAAGAGCACTAAAACTGAGTTTGTCAATATGATCTATGCTCATCACGACACCCATTAATGAGATTAAATTGTCGATTTCTTTAAATACATTCTTCAAATTTGCATTTAAAAAAAATCATCGACTAAAATTGCATAAAAATAAAATACAAGCGAGTTTAGATGTATTCCAATTCTTTCCCTCCATTTCTCATCCTTCCAGAGATAGACATTAAATTTAAGGAAACTATCACTCAAAAGAGTCACATATCTACTATTTAAATGGATCTCAAATGAGTTGAGTCTATCTCTTTCCAAAATCTTGGAGAAAAAACTGAGAGAAAGAAGTAGAAATGATCCAAATCCGAAACAGTCACAGGACATAATAAAAAGGACACAACCTAATTCTCATACTGATATGCAAAATTCAAAAAGGAGTGCCACTCCCACTTCTTGTTTCTGTAGGGCTGTATAAAGCAGACCTATTCCTTGGCCTATTCTCTTCCAACTGTCTCACAACTTCTTCCATGCTTGGTCTCACTGAAGGCACTGGAGCACAACATCCCATTGCTACCTTCAATGCCTGAACCAACCCATCTTCCATTGGACTCCTTATCCCTTTCAGAAGCTCCACGTCAAACACTTCCATGGTTGTCTCCTCCAACACTGCCACTTTCACCATGGAAGGCAAATCCACGACCTCCCCACTCCTCCCGTTCTTACCCGGTTTCTTCCCTATCAATATCTCCAGCAGTAATATCCCAAATGCATAAACATCGGTCCTTGAGTTACATTTCTTCATCTTCTGAAGCTCTGGAGCCTTGTAGCCATCTGTTTTTGCAAGTGCTACCATTTCATCAGCTACAGCAGGAATCATTAGCTTGTCCAGCCCAAACTCAGAGAGCCTGGCAACAAAGAACTCGTCCACTAGCACGTTCTTGGATCGTACATTCCCATGAGTGATTGGAACATCAAGTCCTGTATGAAGATATGCTAGTCCCCTGGCTATTCCCAACGCAATCTTGTGTCGCCTGGCCCAGTTTAGCACTGGTTTTCCAGTTTTAGTTTCTGTGGTTGGATGGCAAAATTGTAACACTATGGTCAATTCCAGGATACTTAATTTAACTTCACCAAAATGAAGCGCACTACACATCAAGCTATTCGGAGATCACAAAAATAATGACTCTACTAACGGATAGGATAATGGTTGCTGATCCTGTCCTCCATTCCCAGAATAGTAAAGGCTAAGCCTTTTTTGGCTTCTCTGTAATGGAATTGTAACTTTTGCTATATGAACTATATAAAACTACATTCAGAATGGTTTTTTAGCAGAAGTGAGATAAACACAGATAAGAGGGTCAAGCAAACACTGATCAGAATATATGAAAAAGTAACGCCTAGATGACCTATGTTCATGGACTTATTGGGATCACGATATCTGGATAACAATAACATCATGACACCGGTCCATAGTCAAATAGCCAATCATCTTCCTCTTAAGAATAAAATTATAAGAGGTATTTGATCCAACTCAAATAGTGTAAGAAATTAACCCCCCTAATCTCCATGGACAACATTTTTCCCATCTTGGGACATTTACTTTTCTCCCAAGGCTTAAGAAATAATCTCTCCCCATTTCAAAGATAGTTCCAAGTCTCACATGAATGCTTTGAATTGAATAAATCTTTGGTCTTATTAGACACTTCACAAACAAGTCAGGGGTACTTCAAGCAATTGGTTACCTCAGTTAAAAAGAAAGTGATTTGGCAAAAAAAAAAAAAAGATACCATGTAAGCATCTACACCAATGGAAAATAAAAGCACTCGAGGGAAATTAATAGGATATAACTTCATATTGAACATACCATGTAAAAGATCGTGAAGTGTTCTGAGAGGAAGATAATCATAAATAAGAAGCTTCTCTCCTCTCTTCCCTTGATAGAAGGCTCTCAAAGGAATCAAATTCTCATGTCGAATCCTTCCCAATTGCTTAATCACGAGCAAGCACGAAGCCCTATCCTTGCAGCTGCCTTCTCTTAATAATCTCAAAGCAATGGTTCCTCCTTCAGCAAGCTTTGCCTTATAAACAGTACCATAACACGTCTTCTCCATAACTTGCCCTGTCGCATTCAACACATCGTCCAATGACAAGTTCTCACCACCTTGGAACAACATAAGCTTCCCTTCACCACCACCTATAGCACCATTACCACCACCATTTTCTTCATCATCATCATCTTCATCTTCCTCCAATTCATCCTCACTATCTCCCTTACCCTTCCTCCTCTTGTTTTGCATATACCCAATAAGCAAAGAAACAAAAACCACAGCTCCAGTCATGAGAGTGATAACTATACCAGCAACTGCACCAGAGCTCAATCTAGGAGTTCCACTACAAGTTCTTAAGGGTAGCCCACACAAGCCAGGGTTATTCCCTTCAAAAACCTCCACACCAAATTTGGATGATTCACCAAAAGTAGGTAAAACCCCACTAAAATTGTTGTGAGAAAGATTCAGTTTCTCAAGTCTAATTAACCCAGCTAAGCTCTGAGGAATTGAACCCGTAAACATATTATTCCCCAAGTCAAGCTGTTTCAGCCCACCAAAACGTGTGATGAATTCAGGGAAAACCCCAGAAAACTTGTTATTACCCAAATCAAGAAATTGCAGATTCTTGCAAGAAGATTCGGGCAATGCCGGTTCAGGAAGAGACCCAGAAAACATGTTGCCATGGAGTCTAAGCGAAACGAGCTTATCACACAAATTCCAGATCGACGGTGGTAAAGCTCCACTCAACATATTGTCATCCAAAACGACATCGTTAAGTGAGGAACTATACCCAAGCTCAATAGGAATTGTCCCTTTCAACGAATTGATGTTCAGGTAGAGACTCTGAAGCATAGGAAACTCTGAAAGCTCCCTCGGAAGCGAACCAGAGAGATTCGCAGAAGGAAGCTGAAGAGAGAGTAGATGTAAAGAGGGGTCTCTGAAAAGCGAAAGATTGGTCCATTGTGGTGAAGACAAGTCATTGCATGACAGGGGAGAGCCATTAGAGAAAACCCATTTGAGTCCCCTCCATTGGCAAAGAGGTATAGAGGAATTCCATGAAGACAAAACGAGGTTATCGGCGTTACCTTGAAGGGCAGCTCTGATTTTACCCAAGAGAAGCTCGACATCCGAAGAAGGCGGCAAAGAGGCTGCAACGGCACTGGAGTTGTTGGTGAGGTAGCTGCAGAATAACAAGATAAACATGAAAATGTAGAGAGAGAGAAGCTTCGTCACCGCCATGAATGAAGTGAAGAAGCAGAGGGGAAAGGTAGCAGTGGGAGCGATGTCTCAAAGGAGGAAAGACACTCTTTTTGGGGAAAGTTGACAGAGTGTTGATTATTAGTAAGCTTCACGTCTAGCATTTCGACGGCTGCGATTCAATCCAGCAATATGAAATCGGATGGTTGTAATTTATTCACCGTTAGTTAAGACTTTGAGAATGTTCATTATCAGGCTTAGTTTCTCATTAAGTTAAAAATTTTAGTGAACCAAGTAAAGAAAATTTCATTAACTTCCCAAATTTACTTATTTCCAACTAAGCAACCCCTAATAAAAGCATACTTATTTATTAGTAATGTCATTGAATTTTTATAATAAATTTTTCCTTTTATTCTCATCAAATATTGATAAGATAATTTAATAATCTCCACTATTGCTACTATTAGTAATTACAATAAAATTTTAACATCACGTAGTCACCTCTTGATTACAAACTAAGGACTTAAATGAAAGAAAATAATTAATACAATAGACACATCTCTCAAAGTGATTAATATAATTGACACTAAAACATTCTTTTAAAAGAGTATGACTAATATTAAGATTAGAGAAGTAAGTGATTATTGTGAGAAAAATCTCGTTT